GCATTTGCTTAAAGAGGTTTTGTGTTTGATTAGAAATAAAAGCAGAAGCTGCAGATGTTTTGTGGTGTATCTTTGTAAATCTACACGATCACTAAAACTGATGGAGATTAAGCTCATTCTTTTGTCTCTATACATAAAGAGACATTTGTGTAGATGGACGAACACAATCGCCTGAGTTTGTAAATGTGGACAATTACATTTGCATTAAGCACCCAGTATGTGTTTGTCTGTCATTTAAATTAATAGCTTACATTTACTAAATGAGCCTTTTTAATGGAAGTAAAGTCCGTCCTTAATACAATTCTCAATTAAAATAAAATATTAAATTAGAAAAAAAGATTGCTGTTCAATTTAGTTTAATATATTTGTGTCAGAGATGGTGAAGTCGAGAGAGATCACAGATCAAAGAACAGTATAATGTGTAACTATTGATCAGCTACGCCTCCCAGAATCCACCAAAACAAACTAAAGACAAATACTATTATACTTTTGTAGCTAACCAAATAAACACACTTCATACTTTTACTACTAAAAATAGAGACAACAAATCAACGAATATCTGCTCAGAAGAAACACGTAACAAAAGCAAACTAAATCATTTTTCTGTCCAACTTCTAAAAGAAAAAGTGCTGTTTTGGGGGATTTATTAAGTATCAGTTATTTGATGCTTCAGCTATATTATTGCAGAGCTCTAAAGATTGTTTCCTATGACAGCAAATCTAAATCTGCTTGAAGCTTTATAACCATCAGCACTATTAATAAAGAAAGAGAAATAAACACCAACCTGTTTGTTCTTCAGTATCTTCAGTGTGTTCTCTCTGTCCTCTTTAATAAACTCAGTCTTTGCAGATTTCAGCTCTTCCTGATGCTTTGATGCTCGTCTTCACTTGTGAACTGATGGAGATATTCCAGCTTTTACTGCTGAACTACTGTGGGCGGAGCTTCACTGATAATGCGATTACCGATTACTGGTTCACTGATGATGCGATTCTTGTGGGAGGAGCTTCACTGAAGAATCTATCTCAGGTGTTTCAGGTGTTTCTTTATTTCTACTCTTCTGACTAATTTGTTTCTTTACATTGTTAAAATATACTGGAACAGAAACTGCTAAATACTTTACCTATAATGAGCCACGTGAGACATTTTAAAGCTATGTTAATATAGATAAATATGAGTAAAGTTTGACAATGGAAGCAATACATATTCCTTGTGCCGCTTTATTTGAAAAGGTTTATGATGTTTGTCTTCTTTAGTAAAAACTTCCAGCTCACTCCCCACGAACTCATCAAAAGACCTCCGGTGTCTACCGCATCAAGACTCTTCTTCAGCAAACGAAAACCAATGCAAGTAACCGCTTAAAATTATTTAGATGCTTGTTTAAGTTTCAGCCCCTTTTTAAGGTGATTTTTGATTCTTTGATGATTTTCAAAGGTTGTGGTTAAGTGATGTAAAATACTGCCATTCTTTTCTATTCTCTCTCTTTTCCTTACTTTGTTTCATTCTGTATGTGTTTTGCTTAGTTAGTTATATGTTAGATATAGTTTCATTTATTAAATCCCTTATATTCACAACTGATTGTCTCTGTTTGCTGCTCACAATTCGAAGTCAATGAATGTGTGAACCCTTGCTACATTTTGCTAAATTACTGCTAGCACTGCACAAAGAAGGACAGATTATTCTTCCTTGGCCAGGAAAATAATCTTTCTCTGAATTGATAAATGATTATTTTGTCTGCTCGGTGGACGGACAGATCAAGTAATGGTAATATTGATTCTGCTACAGTTACTTCAAAGATCTAATCTAAATATTTATTATGAATCATAACCAGTTATAATTCGTCATAAATATTTCCCTTTTGAGCTTGAAAAATTACTACAGTTTTATCAGTAACTGTAAATCAGATTTTGCTTAAATTATGCTTAATTTACAACCCCGTTAGCCATTCTGGGAAAGTTCATTTACTTGATAGCTTTTTCAGTTTCACAATGCTTTAACAGGGTAACAGGGTTGCAGAAAATGTTAATCATATATAGTTAAGTGTAAAATAAAAAAGCTACAATAATATTTAGTTTGACCTGATGTTGATAATCAATGTGAACGTTTCTCAAGCCTCCCTTTACTGAACATTTGTTTTACTATTTACAATAGTTTCATTATTTCATCTCACAGCTCTTAAAGGCTTAGTTCACCCAAAAATGTAAATTAGCCCATGAGCTACTCACCCTCAAGGCATCCTAGGTGTATATGACTTTCTTCTTTCAGACGAATCCAGTCAGAGTTATATTAAAAATGGTCTTTGATCGTCCAAGCTGTTTAATGGCAGTCAGTGGGTGTTGCAGTGTATCAGTCCAAAAGAAGTAAAATAAAGCGTATTCAAGTGCTCATATATATATAAGAAGAAAGTCGTATACACCTAGGATGCCTTGAGGGTGAGTAGCTCATGGGATAATTTACATTTTTGGGTGAACTAAGCCTTTAAGAGCTGTGAGATGAAATAATGAAACTATTGTAAATAGTAAAACAAATGTTCAGTAAAGGGAGGCTTGAGAAACGTTCACATTGATTATCAACATCAGGTCAAACGAAATATTATTGTAGCTTTTTTATTTTACACTTAACTATATATGATTAACATTTTCTGCAACCCTGTTACCCTGTTAAAGCATTGTGAAACTGAAAAATGATTATCAACATCAGGTCAAACTAAATATTATTGTAGCTTTTTTATTTTACACTTAACTATATATGATTAACATTTTCTGCAACCCTGTTACCCTGTTAAAGCATTGTGAAACTGAAAAAGCTATCAAGTAAATGAACTTTCCCAGAATGGCTAACGGGGTTGTAAATTAAGCATAATTTAAGCAAAATCTGATTTACAGTTACTGATAAAACTGTAGTAATTTTTCAAGCTCAAAAGGGAAATATTTATGACGAATTATAACTGGTTATGATTCATAATAAATATTTAGATTAGATCTTTGAATTAACTGTAGCAGAATCAATATTACCATTACTTGATCTGTCCGTCCACCGAGCAGACAAAATAATCATTTATCAATTCAAAGAAAGATTATTTTCCTGGCCAAGGAAGAAATCATTTATCCTGAGAAAGATTATTTTCCTGGCCAAGGAAGAATAATTTTTTCTTATTTATGCAGTGCTAGCAGTAATTTAACAAATGTTGCAAGGGTTGGAACATTCATTGACTTGAATTGTGAGCAGCAACAG